CATTCAGGTTTTGACGTCACAGAGAGCTGAAAGATGCGAAAATCAATTTTGCGTTTGTGTTCTCATAAATGCTTTCCAGGAAATCTCAGCGCTTTTAGTTTCGTTAGTTCCGGCAATGATTCATTCGAACACACACGCACAAAACAGACGCAGATGCATGCACACACCCACACATATAAATACACACATATAGAGCAGCTTTGCCATGGTATGCTGTTGATTTATGCGGTGCAGAGAAATGATAAACAAAGTTTAAAAAAGTACGAATATAAAAAACTGGCTGGCAAGGACAAGGCAAGTTTCAATCATCCATAAAGGACATTCTGCTGATAAGCTTGGTCCAACGAAAAAGAACAAAACCGTCTTGGGCCACCGAGGGTAAACGAGACCGACCTAGTGCAACAACGACGTGTAGGACCTTGGCTTACTTAATCTATCAGCCCTTCGAACGCTCGAATGCGCAATGACAATTGATTTTTATGCGTTCTTGCATTTTTATTCAAATGCAAAAACGACACTGTCGAAAGTTACAGATGTATGTGTAAGTGTATATTCGGATCTTCGTCATTCACGTTCAACTTAGCAACTGCAGAAGCTAGAAAACTGGAATTTCATAAAGATGTTCGTAGTCCAAGTGCGATCAAAAAGGCTTAAAAACAACGCTTATGTACATGTACAGGAACTAAAAGAATTCATGCAAGTTTTTTGACGAAAAAGCAATTTCGGGACCAAATAGAAAGCTGAACTTTCACAAGAATATTCTAAGTCTTTGTGTGAGCTAAAGATTTCAAATTCAGCATTAACGCACACTTACTTCATATGTATGCACACCAAATTTGAGACTGAGACATCGTTGGCAAAATACCAACTCAGGAACTAAGCTAACTGGAGCATTCTAACTTTATGAAAATATTTGCTTTCCATATGCAAACGTCAAACGAGCTTTGATGCACACCAGCATCACATGTTTAGACACGTCAAAAACATTTTATAACGAAAAATGGTTTAGCATATCAGTTAAGCTAAAAAGCTGAAATTTCACGAGTATATTCTATACCCACGTACGACAGAAATATTTCAAATTTAGCTTTAGAGAACGCCTGGGTTTTGTTTGCTCGCAGTTGGAAGTTTAGTTTGGTGTACTATTGGCAGCCTTTTTAACTCGGTAACCAAACTGAGCAGGAAGCAGTACTTTTTCCACGATATCTGCTGTTTTGTGCGTATCACCAGACCTAAGACGAGCCACTGCCTGGGCAGAGGTTCATCAATGGTGCATAAAATGTTTAAACTGCAACAAAGCATACGATGTGTATGCGTTACTGCAATGAGCAAGCCTGATGCGTTGCTATCTGGGTTATTTATTATTTTGTTGCTGTAATTAGCATCCCATTATGAAAATAATTACTGCCAGTAATGAAGAATTTAGAAAACAGAAGGCTTATTTATAAAAGAAAGACTTTGCGGTTGAAAAAGTAAAACTCCGCCGGCTTCTTCGTCAGTTTCACGCGATA